TTCCTAATGTCTGGGGCCGACTGGGTGACAAAAGCAATATTAATTGCCTGTCTATTCTCAGGGGCCTCTGGGTCTATGGGAGTAAAGAGGCGATAAGCCTCCATGAGATGTTCAAGAAAGGCCGCTGAGGATTCCCCTGCGGTTTGAACAGTCTCGCTTACCTTTAGATTAGTTGGCTTTTTGGCTGCTCCGCAGAGGCCCTGAAGTAGAGATCGGTGATACTGGGTTAAAGCCTCCTTACCTTGATCAGTGTTTGGGTCCCAATTGGGTCAGGTAGTTGGGAGGTATGCTCCTATTTGGGCCGGAACTGTGAGGGGTTGGTCGTCTGGCCCAAGGACGGAATTTGCTGCCTCTCTGTGGATCCTGTCCCTCTCCTCGGAGGTGAACAGGACCTGCAACAATTGCTGACAGTCACCCCAGGTGGGCTGATGGGTGTGGAAGATCGTCTCTAGGGGAGAGATTAAACCTTGGGGTTTATCAGAGAAGGAAGGGTTCTATTGTTTCCTATTATACAGGTCGCTAGTTGGGAAGGGGACATAAACCATGAAGGGCCGAGTCTGGTCTTCACCTGGTGGTGGAGCAACCTGATGGAAGGGCAGGATGGCAGCCCAGGAGTCTGGCGCCTGTGGAGGAGGGTTATAAGTGGTGCCGCCACGTGTATGGGAAGGACTGAGCTGCTGAAGGGCTTCAGCCTTTCCGGCCCAGCAGCGGCAGGTGGCGGAGACCGATGAGGGGGTGGCCCCACAGGGTCAGTGAGGGGGTCTTCTGGGGGACCTGAAAGAACAGGGTAAAGCCTTTGGGAGGGAGCAGGAGCCAAGGGCTTCTGAGGATTCCGCGGAAGCTGGGCAATTAAAATCTTCTCCCTATTAGGGTGCAAACATTTCTTAATATGATTAGGCTTGTCAGTAGCTAGGTCAATCCAAACATCGATGTAAGGATTTTGGTCTGGGTGTCCGGGAGTCCCGTAGATGACGCCTCGAACTGCGAACAAAGAGCTTAAGTCAAAAGTGCCCTGGGAGGACCAATTGACCCGGAAAGTGGGCCACTCCCATTCGCACAAAGTGTGCAAGAATCCAGGGTCTGCTGAGATGCTGTAACCTGAGGTGCTCTTGGAAACGTCTGAGAAGTTATTAAGGAGACATTGAAGAGGGGTCCTAGGTCCTGAAGGTCCCTGACCCACTTTCAAGGACACAGGCTGACACAGCACAGAAACACAAAACACAAAAAGACAAACAAATAAGACAGACAAAAAAATCAGAAAAACCGAACCGGGGCCAAAAGCGACGTCTCGCTATGGCCCTGGGGGTGGATCTATGTGCTGCGTCCAGCAGGTCCACTTCCCCTTATTCTGCAGAGTTTTCAGAAACAGACTTACCGAGGGACGTCCTGTCAGCTGAACTGAACCTGGGCCCAGGGTTTCCAGATGCTCTCTAGATGGAATTTGGAGTGGAGACAATTCCCAGGACAGAACGGCGTCTGGGGCAGAGAACATCTCTCCGAGGCCTTCCCTCCCCTAGACCGCCCATCCGCTCCTGGGATGATCCTGCCTCCCCGAGTCTGAGGAGGTCAACCCGCCGAAGTGGGGGACCTCGTTTGTCTATCTCACTCGGGCCTCCAAATGTTGTAGACCAACGAGACAGACCAGACTCAGACTCCGAACTGGGTTCAAATTAAGAGAGCTTTATTAGCCGCGTGGCGACTGTCCCATCCTACACAGAGAGAGCAGCCCAGAGCTCAGGGGGGTGGGTTGCTTATATAGTTGTCTTAGCCCCTGTTAAGGAATTTGGATTAAGGGTATGCAAGGAAGCAAGCATGTACAGAAGCAGATATTTGCAGTTAGCTGTTATGCCTGAGGGAACAATCAGTTTCGGTGTACACAAAGCAAAGGTTATCTGTGCAGTGGTTATCTATTAGCAGCTAGTTCTTGCCATTCCCTTAAAATCCAGGGGGTAAGGTCATGTGTTTGTCCTTTACACCTCCTCAGAGTCCCCAAGAGGTCTAGTCATGTCCTTTCTGATTCTTCTCTTCCCATCAGGTGGAAGGAAGAACTTATATCTATCTTGAAGTGAAAAAACTGCTCATAGAGTATATTGTATTGTTGCCCGGCTGGTGTGGCTCACTGGTTGAGCATCAACCCATGCACCAAGAGGTCACCAGTTCGATTCTCAGTCTGGACACATGCCCAGGTTGTGGACCAAATCCCCAGTCGGGGGACATACTAGAGGCAACCAATCGATGTTCTCTCTCATCGATGTTGCTCTCTTTCTCCCTCTCTGTTCATCTCTCTCTAAAAATCAGTAAAGGAAAAAAATCGAAAAGGGAAAAAAAAGAGCCCTGGCTGGTTTGGCTCAGCAGTTAGAGCGTCGGCTGGCAGTCCAGAGAGTCCTGGGTTCGGTTCCCGCTAAGGGCATGTACTTTGGTTGCAGTTTGTCCCCGGCCCCGATTAGGGTCATGTGGGTGGCAACCAGTCAATGTGTCTCTCTCACATCGATATTTCTCTCTCTCCCTCCTTCCTTCTCTCTCACCACTCTATCTGAAGATAAATGCAAAAAGAAAAAAAAGAATATACTGTATTGTTCTCTTCTCTGTTATATATGGTATAAAATCCATGCTCTGAATCCTTCCGGCTTTTATCTTATTGGTTCAAAGAACTCCTTTCGTCACTCAGAAAATCTAATCATGAAGCCCATACTTTCAAGGCCATATTTTCTGCTTTGATTAAAAATAATTATGTATGCCCTGGCCGGTTTGGCTCAGCGGTTAGAGCGTCAGCCTGCAGTCCAGTGAGACCCAGGTTCGGTTCCCGCTAAGGGCATGTACCTTGGCTGCAGTTTGTCCCCGGCCCTGGTTGGGTTGTGTAGATGGCAACCACTCGATGTGTCCCTTTCACGTCGATGTTTCTCCCTCTCTCTCCCGCCCACTCTATTTGAACAAAATATGGAAAAATGTTCTCGGGTGAGGATTAAAAAATAATAAAATAATTACGTATTAAAAATATGTATTATATGATTATATTATATATATTATATGTATGTATATTCAGTTGATTTTGTTCTATGCTTTATACTTTTTGCCCGAGTTAAGTAGCAAGAACTCAACATTTGGAAGAACAAGAAGAAATTCCCAGGAAACAAATCTTTAATTTTTATCTCAAAATATTTACTTGCCATATAAAACTGTACTATATTTTATCTGTTTCCATGTGGGGAGTTCCCCTTGTGAACTTTTGAGAATAGGGGTCATGTCTTAGTCATTTATAAAAAAATTTTTTTTCTTTCTTTATTGATTTCAGAGAGAGAAAGGAAGGGAGAGGGAGAATGAGAGGGAGATGGAAACATCGATGAAAGAGAACATCGATTGGCCAACTCCTGCATGCCCCCCACTGGGGATTAGGCCCACAACCTGGGCATGTGCCCTGACTGGGAATCGAACCGGCAACCTCTTGGTGCATGGGTTGATGCTCAACCACTGAGTCACACTGGCTGGGCTTAGTCATTTTTGAAGTTCTATAGCTGCACTGTTCAATATGGCAGCCACTAGCCACGTGTGGCTGAGAACCCTTAAAATGTGGTTAATCTGAATTGAGATACACTGTAAGTATAAAATATACACTGAATTTTATTTATTTATTTATTATTTATTTTTATATTCAGATAGAGTGAAAGTAAGGGGAACAAGTACATCAATAGAAGGAAGTCGTTTCTATTGGTGCAGATAACATAAAAGTGATGCTAACTCCAAACAGTTTTTAAATTTTTCAATCCCGTATTCATCATTCTGGTAGAAATAATATGTTTTTTTATTATCTTGGCAACCAGTTCTTTGGGATACAAGGTTGTTTTAGGCCCAATCGAAAGGTTATTTTGCCCTAAACAAACATTCTGTAGGTTTGAGGCATAAAATGTGCAAGGCAGTTCCTCTGGGATGACAGTTCCAACTCCATTTTATTTCTTTTTTTTTTATCCTCACCCAAGGACATTTTTGCATTTATCTTCAGATAGAGTGGGAGGGAGAGGAGGAGGAAAAGAGAGAGAGAAACATCCACGTGAGAGAGACACATCCACTGATTGCCACCCACACCACCCCAACCGGTGCTGGGGACAAACTGCAACCGAGATATGTACCCTTAGCGGGAACCGAACCCAGGACTCTCTGGTCCATGGGCCAATGCTCTAACCGCTGAGCCAAACTGGCCAGGGCTACACTGTATTTTAAAGACCACTACCCAAGGAAAAATGCAAAATATCTCCTTAATAATTTTATATATTGATTACAAGTTAAATGATAATATTTGGATATAATAGATTAAATAAATGTATTATTAAATTAATTTCACTTGTTTCTCTTTACCTTTTTTAATGTGGCTCCTAGAGAACTTAAAAATACAGATGTGGCTTACCCTGCATTTCTATTGTTCAGTGCTGCTCTAGAGCCTGATATAGTGTTTGATTAAGTGCCAGATAAATTTAAAGAAAGAGGAAGGTGAGAGAGGAAGGGAGGGAGGAATAGAAGGAAGAAAGGAAGGAAGCTATATTTAAATTATTATTGCTCTGGCTGGTGAGCTTAGTGGTCAGAGTGTCAGCCTGCACACCGAAGGGTCAAGAGTTCGATTCCCAGTAAAAGGCACATACCTGGGTTGCAGGTTGGCTTCCCAGTCTGGGTACTGCAGGAGGCAACCAATTGATGTGTCCCTTTCACATCCATATTTCTCTCTCTCTCTCCCTCCCTTCTACTCTCTCTCTAAAAAATTTAAAAAGCAATGGAAAAAATATCCTCAGGTGAGGATTAACAACAACACAAAAGTAAGCTATTATTGTATGATGATATCAGTAATAATTTTCTCTAGGGAACAACTTTGGGTGTCTGCTATCGACACAGGGACTTGGGACCAGAAAGTAGTAATTATTTGGAGGACTAGATAGAAAATATATATTAGAACCCAAATATACAATATGATTCTCCAGATCATAATAACCATTTACTCTTTTTTCTTTTATCAGACCCAAAGTATGGAGCTGGCATATACTTCACCAAGAACCTCAAAAACCTAGCATACCAGGACAAGAAAACATCTGCCACAAATAAGCCGATCTATGTGTTTGAGGCTGAAGTACTCACAGGCTCCTACTGTCTGGGTCATCAGCAAGCTATTGTACCCCCACCACTGAGTCCTGGAGTCATAGATAGACATGACAGTGTGGTTGACAATGTCTCCAGGCCTGAAACCTTTGTCATTTTTAGTAGTGTGCAGGCCATGCCTCAGTATTTGTGGACTTGCACCCAAGGTCCTATAAGGCCACAGGATTACTCATCAAACCCAAGGAATAGGGGGACATTCTCAAGTGGCAGCCCTGTTGATTAACCTCCATATCATTTAACAACTGACATGGCCTTGCTTTGGAGGAACTAATAATGACCATCAATGACTGAAAGGGTGGTTTGAATATGTCAAGTGGATTGTCTGTATGGACTGACTGAATTATTGAAGGAACCAGCTACATAACATACTACTAGCATCTTAGTCTTTATCTCCTGGGGCTGGGATAGATAGATACCAACTAAAACACATTCTGGATCATCCCTCTCCTTCAAGGTTTTCTTTCACTTCCTTTACTATAGATAACAGCATAAATGTTTTATATGTAATGAAGAGGTTTTTCTAGTATATGATCCAAGCCTTTTATTCTCTAAAATGATGATAGTATAACAGAATTATTACAGCAGGATTATTTTAGATTTTCCAGATAATCTTATACAGTGCTTTATATATCAAAATAAATCACCTTTGCTTTGAAAAATTACATGTAAAATGAAATTATTTGAAGTGAAAGGATATCAAAAGGCTGATATTCTACCGAAATCCTGTGTAGATTTGGCCATATCAAGCGATGCCACTCAAGCACTACTAGACCAAATTATTAATTTACCAAATATTTTTTGACCAACAAATACATTTTAGTCACTTTCTGGTTGCTGGGGATATGATGCTGCACAAGACAAATGTCTTCATACAGCTTTCAGTCTGAATAATGAGAAAGGCAGCTATGGACAACTTAACAAGTATGATTGGGTATAACAAATGAGGAATTACAGTTTCTTTGGGAAAATGTAAAGGGAAGAGGGATCAAGGGTTTCGGGGGGGAGGGCCTTCTAAAGAAAGTAAAAGTACCCCTGGCTGGTTTGGCTCAGCGGTTAGAGCGTTGACCTGCGGTCCAGAGAGACCCGGGTTCGGTTCCCACTAAGGGCAGGTACCTCGGTTGCAGTTTGTCCCCGGCCCTGGCTGGTCGTGTGGGTGGCAGCCACTCGATGTGTCCCTTTTACATCCCACTTTCTCCCTCCCACTCTGTCTTTCTCCCGCCCACTCTGTCTTAACAAAAAAGTGGAAAAATGTCCTTGGGTGAGGATAAAAAAAAAAAAAGGAAAAGTAAAGGGGAGAGGGAACAAGGGTTTCAGGAGAGGGCCTTCTAAAGAAAGTAAAAGTCAAGCAGAGACTGAAAAATGTGTAAGAGTCAGGTAAGTAAGAGATGCAGCAAATAGAGAGCAGAGTGAAAGAGTATTTATGCAGAGAAAATAGCTCTTATAAAGGCTGAATCCACTGTGACTGCCTAAATTTGGCTTCAGTTCTGCAATGTAGAGGCCAGCTGACCTCACCATGCATCTCTTGCCTATTCTGAAAGCCATATTTCCCTATACTTCCAAACTTGTCTAACCCTCACATCCGCAACTTCTTGCATTAACACATTTTCTTTCTCATCTTACCATAACCAGCATTCTTCCTTTTGAAAGAAGCATGCTTATTGTCTCATATGTTACTGCCCTTGGATATAGGCAAGAGGGCCCTGCTGTGGCCTTCTCCAGCTATGCCCATCTCCACAAAGTGCATACCTCACTCCTAAGTCTCTCAGTAGGTACCTGGAACCCCCAAATTTCCTGCCTAAACAGCTCTACATCTACATACAGGACCTGATTGGGCCTCTTTCTTGGGTCTCTCCTCCCAAGGGTGGACTACGCTACAGTCTGAATCAAGAATGGCCTTAGGGTGACTGTTTGCAGGGATGGGGCTTGAACAGGAGGCTGAGGTATTCATATGCCTGTGGATGAGGCCTGAAGCACAGAGCTGAGGGTGACAGGACACCTCTGAAAGATCTAGCATATGTTTAATAGGGATTTCAAGAGAGAATGGAGGAGAGGCAACATTCTCAAGGACAAGAACAGAAGAAAATCCACACCAAGAAACATAGTGACACTGTAGACCACCAAAGAAGTGATCTTAAAAGCAGCCAGAGAGAACCATCAACTCATCCACAAAGGAATAACAATTAGATTGACAGCATAGGTCTTGTGGTAGGCAGAATGATGTCCTCCCCCTGACCAGTGCAAAGATATCCACGCTTTAATCTGAATCTGAATATGTTACCTTGCATGGCAAAAGAAATTTTGCAGATGTGATTAAGGTTACCCATCAGATGGGAAGATTAGCCAGATTATTCAGGTGGGCGAAATCTAATCAAGTAAGTCTTCAAAAGTAGAGAAACTTTCCTAGCTGTGTCAAAGAGATAGCAGCATGAGAAGGATCTGATGCCCTGTGTTGGTTCTGAGATGAAGGGGGTTATGTGCAAGGACCAGAAAGAAGCTTCTAGCAGAGAATGGTAGCCCCCATCTGACAGCAAGGAAACCATTATCTCAAACCTTTAACTGCATGGAATTGAATTCTGCCTATACCTGAGTGAGCAAGAAAGTAGACTCAAAGGCTTCCAGGAAGGAGTGAAGGCTGCCAACACGTTGATTTTAGTCCAGTGAGGCCCATAGCTGACTTCTGATCGACAGAACTGTGAGATAAATTTGTGCTCTTTTAAGTCACTAAATCATGGTGATTTGTTATGGCAGTAATAGAAAACTAATACAATTTTTAACAGCAATAATGGAAACCTGAAGACATTAGTATAATATTTTCAAAGTGGCCGAGAGAAATGAACTTAACCTTGAATTCTGTATTTAGCTAAACTTTTATTTTGCCTTAATTTTATAATAAAGACACTCCTAGACCATCAAAAACTGAACTGACCAAAAATAGACTCTGATTTAAAAAAATTTAAAATGTAGCCTGGCTGGTGTGGCTCAGTGGCATGAGCCTCGTCCCATGGACTGAGAGGTCCCGGTCCTGGTCAGGGCACATGCCTTGGTTACAGGCATGATCCCCAGTAGGGGGCATGCAGGAAGCAGCCCATTGATGTATGCCTCTCACATTAATGTGTCTATCTCTCTCTCCCTTCCTCTCTCTCTAAAAAAATCAATAAAAAACTTAAAATTTAAAGGATATACTTCAGGAAGGCGGGAGGAAAAGATCTAAGCTGCAAGAAGCATGATGAGCAAAGAAATGGTAAATATGGATATATGTAAACAATCATCGTCTTCATAAATCAGCAGTAATAGGAATGTCTAATTTGGGGAATAAAATAAGACTGAAATAAAATATTGAATAATAAACCATGTAAAATGGTAGACTAATGACTACAATTAAAGGGATTTTACCATGTTGTTCAAGAGAAGATTAGAGTAAATTTCTTATACAGAGTAAAATGTAAGGGCAGCCACTATAAGAAGAGAAATAAAGTATTTAACTTCTAAGTAGACCACACACAAAAAAAGAAGAAAATTTAGTTGTGGGTTCGAATTTCCATCAGGAAACATGCCCAGGTTGTGGGTTTCACCCCTGGTCAGGGTGTATGTGGGAGGCAACCAATGTTTCTCTCTCTCCCTCTTTCTCCTTTGCTCTCTCTAAAATCAATGAAAACATACCTTATGATGAAGATGCTTTTTTAAAAGAACAGGTAGAAAAGCAAGGAAGGGGGGGGGGAGAATTAGGGGAAAATACGAGGGACAAACAGCACAAAATGGTAGAAGTAATTCCAAATATGTAAGTGACCATAACATGTGTAATTTGAAAGAAGCTTGCTAGTTAAATCACAGTCAGATTGGATTTTAAAATCCAACTACTGCACGTACTATTTACTGGAGATATTAAAATACAGAAAGATTGAGAATAAAAAGATAGCAAAATGTGATTAGCAAATATAAAAAGAAAGCTGGCATGCCCTTATTAATAACCACAAAATAGACCTTAAGTTAAAGAGTGTTATTAGGGGACTTCCGGTCAAGATGGCAGCATAGGTAAATGCGGTATCGCCTCCTCCCACAACCACATCAAAATTACAGCTACACTACAGAACAAACATCCTTTAGAACCACTTGACATCAAGCAGAATGGAAGTCCTACAACAATGCAATTCAAGAAGCCACATCGAGATAGGTAGAAGGGCCGGAGGAGCTGAGGGCTGGTCCCACACCCATGTGTGGAGGATAAAAATTAGGAGGACACCTGGGCTGTGAAGGTCCTTCCTTAGGACTGAGGAGTCCCGGGTCCCACACCAGGCACCCAGCTCAGGGTTCCAGCGCCAGGAAGAGAAGTCCCCATCACTTCTGGCTGTAAAAACCAGCGGGAACTGAGGCTCAGGGAGGCTGAAGCTGCTAGAACCCCAGGCAGCTCCTCTTAAAGGGCTCGCGCATGGACTTACTCGGACTGCTCCCTCTGAGCTCCATCATGGAGGGGATGCAGCTTGAAAGGTACCAGAGATATATGCGGAAGAACTGAGTTGTTTGGCAACAGGACAAAAGCTGGAGAGGCAGCTTTCTCCTGGACAGACATATTGGTGGAGGCCGTTGTTCCTTTGGTGAGCCCTTCCCTGGGACGGCAGTCAGCCACCATATCTGAGACTCCAGCAACGTGGCTCACAGTGTTTACCCTGCCCTGGTGATTCCATGAGGCCCCACCCCACCCAACTTCCGGCCCACCCAAACTGTTTCCAGTGGCTTTACTATAGGATTGGCCTGTCTTGGATCTTGCTTTAGATTTTCCTAAATTCTCTCAAACAAGCAACGTCTGGCCACAGTGAGCCGCATTCCTCTAGTTAAGTGGCCCCAGGCCTGGCACTAGAAGCAACCAGCCTTGGTTCACAGCTTGGCTTCGCTTGGGCACCACCAAACTCAGCACAAGAACCAGCTGTCTGCAGACCACCTTGTAGCTTATGCTGGATGGCCCCAGGTAGAACACAGGCAGAGGCTGACCTTGCCCCAGAGCCAGCACACCCAATGGACAGCTTCAGACCACATTAAAACACTACCACCCAACCACCTTCACAAGTGACACACTCAATGAGTGGACTCAGTGGGTACCAGAGAACTGCTGAAGTAAGTTTTGCTCTGTGTGGTGGGCCCCTGCACAGCTGATTGCTCAAGGTAGTCAGAAGTCAGTGGGCAGTGGGCACAGCCAGTCCTTGAAGCTGATCAGCCTGACTAAAACCCTCAACAGCAATCGAGACTCAATTACAACAGAAGTGTGTAAAGTCTACATGAGGGGTACCCTCGATGGCCCAGCTGGGTAATCAGGGAGGCTGTGCCACTGGACCCTACAAGACACCTACTACAACAGGCCACCTTGGGAAGCCTAGGAGACATAGCAACTCTACCTAATACATAGAAACAAACACAGGGAGGCAGCCAAAATGAGGAGACAAAGAAACATGTCCCAAATGAGAGAACAGAACAAAACTCCAGGAAAAGAAATAAACGAAATGGAGATAAGCAGTCTAACAGATGCAGAGTTCAAAACAATTCTTATAAGGACGCTCAGTGAACTTAGTGAGGGCCTCAAGAGCATAATAAAGGACCAATCAGAAATGAAGGATGCACTAACTG